GCCAGGGGCTTAAGTGGAGAGGAAATGTTTTTAGAATGATGAGGGCAATGAATGTACAAATGTGCTTTACATAATTGATATATGTATGGATTGTGGTAAGAGGTGTATGAGCCCCTAATATAATGATTTAAAAAAATTTGTGAGAGAAAGGGTCGAGCCAGCCAGGGTACAGTAGAGCATCGAGGGAACACAACATTCCTCTAGTTCTTTAATGCTTCCTCCCAGCCTCTGTCCTGACCCTAGTTTTACCTTACAAATTTGTCCAACTGGAGCATGTACAATGATACAGATAAGAACTTTAGATAAATGAAATCCAGGACAGATAAACCCCTCAGAAACAGGAATGAGAACAGTGATGAGAGTAGGGGGGAGGTCGGGGGAGAAGAAAGAGAAGGGGAAACTGATCACAATGATCAACGTATAACCACCACCCTGAGAGGGACAAACAACAGAAATGTGGGTGAAGGGAGACAGCAGATGGTGTAAGGTATGAAAATAGTAATAATTTATCACTTATCAAGGGTTCATGAAGGTGAGAGGAAAAAAATGAGCTGATACCAAGGGCTCAAGTAGAAAATGTTTTACAAATGATGATGGCAACATATGTACAAATGTGCTTCACACAATGGATGTATGGATTGTGATAAGAGCTGTTAGCGTCCCCAATAAAATGATTTATTAAAATTTTAAAAAGGAATTATACAGGATACAAAGTAATCTTAATATATAATTATCTGTATGAGAATTACTCAGTTTTGTATTAAACTAGTATGTTGACTTTATTAAGCTAGCTTTTATAAGGCATTTTCTCCTGTTTTCATTTATTGTCTGTAAGCTGTGAGCAGTTTCGTGTGTGTGTGTGTGTGTGTGTGTAAAATGAGTATCTGTATACTCAAATATAAGCCAACCCCACAAAAACTCCATTAAAACATGCTGAAAAGCCTGGCTTATACACTAGTATGTATGTTATATATTTTCCTCACCTCAAGAATTATTGATAAGACAAAGTTCCAAGCATGCTTGATTAAAAATAGCAGGGAAAGCCTGTCCTTAAAAAAATATTTTATCTCATTAGTACATGGAAATAATGAAGACTACACTTTGCTGAAAATTTCATATAAAAACTGGTCACAGTTTCTGTTCATGTTAAGTTCGTTACATTTAGCCCTAAAGGTAGAATTCAGAAGCACATATCGTAGAATGCAAAAATATGTAGCGCCTAAGAGATGTACAAGCTGTGCAAGCAGACTATTTCATCTTTTTTCCCAATAAATTGTATATGCAACTGATCACTTTATCTTTTTTATTTTTGGTTCCAATGTTTCAGACCTCAGCAATCACCCAGCGGATAAGTCCCTGTTCCACCCTGACTAGCAGCACTGCCTCTCCACCAGCTAACAGCCCCTGTTCCACCCTCCCACCAGCCAATACAAGTGCATCTGCCAAGGACTGCAGCTATGGGGCTGTCACTAGTCCCACCTCCACCCTGGAAAGCAGAGATAGCGGCATCATTGGTAAATTGATTCTTATATTAATCATTTTGTACACTTTTTTTCGTTTTAAAATAGTTAAAATAGCCTAACGTTTAAAAACATTCTGCTTTTGAGTTCAGGTGTATATAAAAAACGTTATCTGTTTTATGATGCTTAGAGAGAAACAGGTAAACAAAATGAAAAGCATATCTCAAGTTCACATACATCATCTTATCTACCACAGAAGTGGGTCAGAAAAAGCTGTGTTCCTTACTGGTATAGTAGAGAGCTTTATACAACCAGAAAGAAGAGTCAAGATTAAAGTATGAAGTTGAGTTATTTGGGAATCTGTTTGTAGTCTTTTAATGAGTTTTTGGGGCCCTATCAGATGCAGAGAGAAAGGGGAATGGAACATATTCAAAATTTTTAGTAAATCTTGCTCTTTTAAAATAACTCTTCTAAAGTATACAAAGTAATACTTTCTACTAATGCTTTCTAACTTGGCAGGAGAACAAGTGGCTGGCAAGGTACTGATTGCTTCTTGAGACACTATACTCTAACTGCTCTACATATACTTTCGGTATGCAGATAATAACACAATAAGGAAAAAGGTTTCTTAGCTTCACCAGTGATGAAGACTAATATGATTTACATTTTGAGCTTCCATTGGTGTTTACAAAACTTCAAAAAATGCTTCTTTAATGAAGAGTTTATGAAGTAAATGCCTTTTAATAATTAGTCTGTGTGCATTTTGCGGTCAGAGATAATGACAAAAACTGTGTACAGCTATAAAATAAAATACCCACCAAGTAAAGAAGCTAAATGGTTTTTTCTAGGTATTCTTTTGTCCTGTTTATGTTATAGTCCTAGGCTGGTTTTACATGAATGAAGTAAAAGAAAGAAAAGTAGAAAATGATTGTTTTTAATTACAAGTAGTTTATGGCTAGTTATCTCTCTAGACCCCAAAAAGTGTTGTTATATGCCAAGTCTAATTGAATATTTAAGCTAGAAAATAATGGAGAGTGAATGTGTTCAATCATCTAAGGTGAGAGAGTATTACTTTTTCATACTGCATATGTGAGTTTTTAGGTTTATATATGGGAAGACAAAATTAATGGCCATTTTTCCCTTTCTCCCTCTGGGATTCAGGCTTACAGAGTTGAGTAAGTGAGAAAGTATTGCTAGTGGGGTTCCACTTCCTACATGCACAAGTCTACTCCAAATAAAGCACGGTTAAGCATGTCTCCGACCAACAGACCACACAAATTCTCCCAGTAACACATTATCTTAGTCTCATTAGGGTGCGTTCCCAAAAAAGGGATACTTAGTTCAGGCAGCTCAAAGAGCTGTTCTCTCCATCTGTCTTTTAACCAAGATCAAAGTTAATGAAGACACGATTTATAATTCGATTGGAATTAATCCAAGTCTTGAATTTTTACCAAGGTAATCCAGAGAGCAAAGCCAATCAAAACAATAACTTCCGAAGTGATCTGCTAGACCACTTAAATTCAAGGCAGAGAAGTCAGCTCAAAAGGTTATGACAGTTTGTTTTGGGATTCCAAAAGGGTCATTTTGGTAGGTTTTCTTGAAGGACACAGGTTGGTTGTGGGCATATTAGGAAGAAGTTTTAAGAAAACTGAAAACTGGATTGGTGGGGGAAAGAACTAGAAATTTCTGTCAAGGAATGTTTTTTTAATCACGACAACTCATTTGCTTATTCTTAAGAGTAGTAAGGGCTGTCCTATGAGATTTTGCCTCAAATTATAAGACTAATGACACCTTGTGCCTGAAAAATGAAAAGCATAGTAGGTGCTTGATAAATGTTTCTAACAGGAAGGAAAGCTTAAGGCTGACATGACACAATTCCTTTTGTTGGCTCAGAGTAACAGTTGGAATTTTATTAGATTTTTTTAATGAATAATAGATATTAGAGTTTTCCATTGTCTAATTTTCTTCATTTAAGCCCTCTTTATGATTAATTTTGGCAAAATGGCTTATAATTTTTAGCCAGACTTCATCTTGTTTTCCTCTGTTAATAGATATTATTAGAGTATCTGTGACTGAATATCATCTATATTGCCATGCATAAAAATAGCTTTAGAAATATGTTCCCCGAAGCAGAAGGAATGGTGCTGACAGATTACACAAAATCTGTTTACAAGTAGTTGCTTTTCAAAAGGGAAGCTTAACACTTTGGTGAAAGTTCAGAGTAAATGTTTATATGTTCTGAAAATTAAAAATAGGATCCTGCTTTTCTTTTGATTAATTTCCAAGATTGTGTTCTTATAAATGAGCACCTTGTAAAATAAAGGATAAAATTTGAAAATCATGAGCCTCCATCTTCTCATTTTTTTAAAAACTCAATTGCCATTCGGTACTTTTCTGTAGGTTCTGATTCCACTGTCAGATTTGGTTTTCACTTCTACAGTCTTACAATGCTAAGGCCCTGTGACAGTAAAGTGTTTCAGGCCATGTCCATTGCACAGTAATGCTTTCCTAAAATTTCATATAAGGATTTCTGGTGGTTTGGGAGACAAGCATTGGGCTGCTAACTACAAGTCAGTGGTTTCAACCTGCCAGTGCCTCTGCAAGAGAAGGAGAAGGCTGCCTGCTCCTGTAAAGATGTACCGCTTCAGAAACCAGGAAGAGGGTCGCTATGAGTTAGAATCCACTTGATAGCAATCAGTTTGGGATTGGTTAATGTTTTGTATTACTAACTCAAAATCAGAATCACAAGTTTCTAGTCAAACCCCTTTGTTTATTAATATATGTCCCAGCAAAATTTCATGAGTTTGTGTGTGCTCCAAGTTATCACATTAAGAAATTCATCCCCTGTGAGTCATGCACTGAACATTAGATAATTTGAGTTTTTTACATTTTTCTCAACCCATTTTGAAAAATATATAGATTTCTCTTCCACTAATGTATTTCAGTTATTGTGCTGTCATCCTTCACACCTCACTAATTCCTAAACCAAATCAAACCCCTTGTAGTTGAGTCTGAGAGAAATTACTCCATAGGGTTTTCAAGGCGGTAATTTTTGAAATCGGTCTGCCACCTTTTTCTCCTGTGAAGCAGCAGGCATGTTTGTCTATGAAATCTAGACACTTTGCTGATTAAAATGATCAGGGACACAAAAGAGAGTGTTTCTCCTGCATAATTGACCTAAAATACTGTCTGGCTTGGATCCACATTCATTGCTCCTGGAAGCACCAGTCAAGAGATCAAATGAGGACTATTGAGTAAATCTGCGTAAGACCTCTTTAAAGTTTTGAAAAGCAAGGATGGTTACTTTGAGGACTAAGGTATGCCTAATCCAAGCCAGGATATTTTCAGTTGCTTCATATGCATGTGAAAGTTAGACACTGGGTAAGGAAGACTGAAGAAGAATTCATGCATTAGAATTGCAATGCTGGTGAATATTGAAAGTGCCATTGACTGCTGAAAGACAAATAAATCTGTATTGGGAGAAGTACAGCCAGAAGGCACCTTAGAAGCAAAGATGGTGAGACTTGGTCTACCATACATTAAACTTGTTATCAGGAGAGATCTGTTCCTGGATAAAGACATTGTACTCGGACAGCAAAAAAAAAAAAAAAAAAAGGAAGCCCCATGACAAGATGGATTGACACAGTGATTGCAACAGTGGACTCAAGCCCAACAATTATGATGTGACGATGGCATAGGACTGGGCAGTGTTCTGTCATCTGTAGTGTCACAGTGAGTTGGAACTGAATAGCATTGAACAACTACATAAATTTACTAAAGAAAATGAATTGTGTGAGGACATCCATACCCAAAATGGTATATAAATTATGCTTCAGTCAAACCCAAAATTTTGTGCACACCCATTCACAAAAAGTGAATTCATCTCTTTATATTATTTCTTTCTAGCCTGTGACAAGGACATGCCACATAAGCCACAGTTTCTAATAAAGTAGGATTTTTTTTTCCTATATTAAGGAAGGAAAACAGACAATATCAAACAATAGAGCTACTTGATACTCTGTTTTCCCACTGATTTTAATTTCATCTAGGAATAATTAGGTCTAGAAAGAAACAGATAAAGGTAGATTTAAATCTAGTGGAAAATGAATATATATTTGTCACCATCTTCACTTCTAGGGAGCATTCAGGTTGTAATTGCTTCTAAGACTAATGTGTTCATTCTTTTGGCAGTGCATGGGATTTTCAGTGTTGTTATGTACCTGTTCTTCTTCTGGGTTCCTCTTTCATTGTCTAGCTCTTGCATCTGAAGCTTTTGAAAAGACCGTGGCTTCAATCAAGCTATTCTTAGTCATCAAAGTGCCATCTTTGCTTTTTGAAAGTTTCAAGAGATAATTTGCATTTGATCAGTGTAATACAGCATTTGATTTCTTGATGACTACTTCCATGGACATTGATCATTGATCCAAGTACAGTAAAATCAAGGAACAGAATACATAGTTCAAACAAACATGTACACACATATACATCATCAACTGATTTTGACAAAATACAAAACATTTCGATGAGAAAAGGATATTGTCAATAAATGGTGCTAAAATACCTCTTCTTATATCATTCCATATACAAAAAGACATCATGGATCATAGACCTAAACCTAAGCACAAAACTATTAAACTTCTAGAAGAAATTATAGACAATATAATTCTAAGTGACCTTGAGTTAGGCAAAGATTTTTTTTTTTTAATGGAACATAAAAGTCATAAAATCTAAAAGGAAAATAATAAAGAGCCCTACTGGCACTGTCAGGTAAACGGACTGCTTGCTACTGCTAACATCAAGGGTTCAGACCTACTAGCTGCCTTGGAGAGGGAAGTGAGGCTACCTGCTCCTGTAAAGACTTAACAGCCTCAGAAGATCACTCTGAGTTGGAACAATGGTCTCAGGCGTAGGCACAATTTCAAGGATGGCACAGGACTGCAGTACGGTGTTCTGTTGTGCCCAGGGTTGCTATGGGTCGGAACCAACTCAGTGACACCTACCAAGAACAACATGAATTGAAATCAACTCAAAGGCAATGGATTTGATTTTTAATTTTTTTAAAGGAAAAGTAATTTGATGAATTATATTTGGTCTAATATCAGTGTTTGTAATTTGAAAGTTATTAAGAAAGTGAAAGGGGGGGAATCTCAAATACAATTAAATATTTTCAAAGCATCTTTTGCCTCTTTTTAATTGTGGTTAGGTTGTATGGGTTATATATTCTGGATATTAAGTCCTTGTCAAATAGAGAGTTCCCATTTTTTTCCTATTTGTAGGATATTTCTTCACTTTGCTGATAAAGTCATTTGAATAGACGTTTTTTATTTTAATGAAGTCCCACTTTCTTGTATTTCGTTACTTTTTTTTCCTTAGTGTCATATCTAAGAATCAAAATTTAATTTATTTTATATAGGTAACAAAGAACTAGCTGCTCTAGTGACTTTGTCACTAATAGAAATCTCATATTTTCATATTGCATTATTGTTTTAAAGATACCATAAAATCACATTCCCCTCATCTCCATCTTGAAATCACAGTAATTAAACTGCCACTGCATTTTATAATTTAATGTTTTATTTAGAAAGCTTGTAAATTATTGTATCAAATCACTTTTTAATATTTTGCTGCCTGTGTTTCAACATAATTAGCTCTTTCTATAGACTTACCTATTTTATCTTAAAACATTGTTTTAGAAAAGATTTTCTTACACATCACCAGACTCCTCAAAGGAGGAAAAGGAGGAGGTAGCGGTAAGGGAGGGTGTTCTCTCTTTTACCTAAAAAACTTGCGGAGTCATCAGAAACTAAGTCTCTGTAGTGTAATATATGATACCGTAAAACATTCAAAGAAAATACTGGTAAGTTTCTTTATAGAATGAAGAATTTTCTAATTATAACCCAAAAGACATTTCTTGTGCTCAACACAATGGATAGATGTATGGATTGTGATAAGAGCTGTAAGAGCTCCCAATAAAATGATTTAAAAAAAAAGACATTTGATCACTACTCCATAAGGATATAAAACTTCTATTCAGCCAAGAAACATTACTAAAGTAAAAAATCAGCTAGGACAAATATTTTTCCACATGTGTGATGGCAAAAGCATGAATAAGATATTATATATCTGCATAGTGTTAAATAAAGAAAAATATGTGTGTACCCCACTAGAAAAATAATAGAGGGCATGAACAAGAAAACAGGGAATATTGTTCTAATTCTGAATGAGAGATAGCATGTGTTAGGCGTTGGCTTTTTTGACCCATGCTAGTGTATTTTGCTTAAAAACTCTGAGTACCCTGATTGTAATGAATATTTGCATATTAAGGCATGAACTAGTATGTTAAAATATATGTATTGAGCAGGGAGGAGGGAAAAAATGAGGAGCTGATGCCAGGGGCTTAAGTGGAGAGCAAATGTTTTGAGAATGATGACAGTAACGAATGTACAAATGTGCTTTACACAATTGATGTATGTATGGATTGTGATAAAAGTTGTACAAGTCCCCAATAAAATGATTTTAAAAATTTTAATGTATGTATTAACATCCATAAAAATATTACAAATTGAAAGAAAAATATAAACATTCATTTGAATGTTACTTTATTATACTTATGTACCTATTATGTTATGAATCTAAATAAATTCCCATCTTAAAATTTTAATGCTTATGTGGTCAGAATTAATTTAAGTACAGTTGTTAAAATACATACATGAGAAATTATATCCTTATGGTTTCAATTATTCAAACTTTGATGGAGGTAAAATTATAATCAGTATCTTTTTAAATTACATTATTATCTAATCGTGTATTTCATTTTATTTTTCAGCCACGTTGACAAGCTATTCTGAAAACATGGAACGCACAAAATATGTTGGGGAAAGCAGTAAAGAATTAGGGTCTGGAGGAAATCTAAAACCTTGGCAGTCTCAAAAATCCAGCATGGACTCTTGTTTATATCGAGTAGATGAAAACATGATGGCTTCCACCTACAGTCTGAATAAAATCCCGGAGAGGAATTTGGAAACCGTTTTATCCCAATCAGTACAATCTATTCCACTGTATCTTATGCCACGGCCAAATTCAGTAGCAGGTAAGGTTTTTAAACAATAGCGATTTATTTTGACGTGTGTGTGTACACATTATATGTATGTATGTATAAAACCTACTCCCCTGGAGTTAATTCGACTCATAGTGGCCCTAAGAGCGAAGGCTCTCAATCTTTATGGGATCTGGCCTTGTCTTTCTCCTGAGGAGAGGTTAGTGGCTTCAAACTGCCACTCTGGCAGTAAGCTTTTCAGGTGTATCTATAGAAGTGAAAAAGCCTGTTCTAACAGTATTTCAACTTTTCCATTTATCATCTTTGACCAAAGCTATTGTTTAGTGCTTGGGTAGCATTATGTATGTATACCTTTTTTTTTTTTAAATCTGGGAAAAGCTCATGTTCCTCAAGTGACTCTTTGTGTTCCCAAATTTATAAAAACGTCCATAAAATAAAAAGCAGCCTATATTTATAATTTTTATAGGAGCAGACACCCTCATTTTTCTCCCACAGAGCAGCTGGTGGGTTTCAACCACCAACGTTGTGACTAGTAGCCCAGTGCTTAACCTATTGTACCTGTGTACATAATGTTGCTCATAACAACATGATCTCTCTTGTCTATTTAATATTAATCCCTTTCCCAGCCCCAGGCAACCACTAATCCATTTTCTGTCATCATAGATTGACATTTCTGAACATTTCATATTAATAAGATCATGATGTGTATGCGTAGAATGTCATTATAATGCTTAGAAAACTCACCTATGACATAGCATGTATGAGTCCATTTTTCTTATAATGCCAAGTAGTAGTCCATATTTGAATATACCACTTTTTCTATTCATTCACCAATTGTGAGGGCATCTAAGTTGTTTCCAATTTTGAACTGTTGTGAATAATACTGTAACCTTTGGGAAAACATGTTTTCATTTCTCTTAGATACCTACCCTTGAAATTGCTAGGTAATGCAATTTATATTTAACTTCTCAAGAAATTGCCAAATTGTTTTCCAAAGTTACTGCATCATTTTATATTCCCACCAGCAGTGTATGAGGCCTCTGAGTTCTCTCCACCATTTATTACTATCTTTTTTATAATAGTTTTTCTAGAGGGACGTAGTCTTAATTTGCATGCTCTAAAGTTTAATGAGAGGATCCCTGGTGGTTTAGTGGGTTATGAGTTAGACTACTAACTACAAGGTCGGCAGTTCAAAACCACCAACTGTTCTGGGAAAGATGAGACTTTCTACTCTCATAAAGATTTGCAGTCTCAGGAACCCCTAGAGGCAGTTCTGCCCTGCCCTATAGTGTCGCTGTGACTTGAGATCGGCTCAGTGTTAGTTTGTTTGTTTTAACATCTGATGATGGCACTGGACTGAGCAGTGTTGGTATGGTACACAGGGCTGCAAAAGGTCCTGTGAGTCAGAAGCACCTAAGAACACGTGACTGATAATGTGTTTAGTAACCACCACACATCTCCTTTGTTGAAATGTCTCTTTAGATAGTTTGCCCATTTTTTATTGGCTGGTTTGGCTTTTTAATATTTTGTTGAAAAAGATTATTGTACTGTTTGATTACATGTCTTTTTCAGATCGGTGTTGATAAATGTTTTCACTTGAGCTGTTGGTTGTCTTCATTTTCCTAAAAGTTATTTTGAAACAAGCATTTTGAAATTTTATGAGGTCTATTTTATTTAAAGATTAATTTATAAATCATGCTTTTGTCATTTTTATATGCTTTTTAATAGAAAATATTCTGTTTATATCAAATATTATAAAACAATGATTTCTCTTGTTACTGGAGTTGGTTTTAAATACTGGAAAATATATCCTATACACATTTAAGGAATTTTTCTTTTTTTCTAGATTGCTGTGCTTAATTATGATGGTTTTTTACCTGCCACAGTTGTCATCCCATAACTTTGGCCTTTCTAGTGGCTGATTGTGCTTCTTCAAAGCACAGGTGAAAGGCAAATATACTTTAGATTCAGAGGTTCAATAAATCTGCCCTGAAGAGTTTATGCTGTCAAGGTTTATTTACTGACAGTGTTGAACAAACTACTTCATCAGAAAATTGTATCTTGTCAGTATTGAATGTAATATAATCAGTCCTTGTGTTTACTACGGGGAAAGTTATAGGTCAGGGGATAGTTTGGATTGAGTGTGTCCTGTCTTTGGAAACCATGGTTTCAGAATGCTCACAATGAAGCAGAAAAAGTAAGTGGTATACCAGTGACTCGGTTATATTCAGAATTTAATGGACTACAGGTTTTTAAATGACTGCAGAATATAGGAAGAAAAAAAGTAATTTCACAGGGATTTTACACCTGTTAAATGTATATGTACATATGCTTGATATTGACTACAACTTCTAGTAGCTTAAATGATTAGCGATACAAGTGAACCCTCGCCACTTAACACTTCGACTTCCGCGGCTTCACTCTATCGCGGTTTTTGCGTAACAGCGCATGCTCTGTCATTACTGCCACTGATTGGCTCATACTGTACACGCTTCTGTCTGCATCGCTACGTATCGGAGCTACGTATCAGATGCATTTTTGCTTTTGTACAGTGTACTGTAATTGTTTGTGATTTTTAAGAAATTTTATCTAAGCCCTATGTTGGCTCCTAAACGAGCTGCTTCTTCTAAGCCTTCTGACAATAAAAATAAGCGCCAGAGGAAGATGCTCACCATCCAGGAAAAGGTAAAACTTTTGGATATGATCAAAGATGGCAAGAAAATCGTGGAGGTTGCACGCCATTTCGACTTGAATAAGGAATCCTACTTCGCGGAATTTCATTTAGCACGGTAGGGTCTAGAACCGATTAACCGCGATAAACGAGGGTTCACTGCTAGCTAAATTATGTTTTTAAGTAAATTTTCTTAGCTCAAGAAGGTTCTCCCCTCCCATTTTAGCACGCTAGATAAGCATATGCTTTCTTTACCTTTGAATGTGTTCAGAAAGTGACTTCCTAAATTGAAGGAGATAGAAAATATCAAATCTCCTTGGCGATCAGGGAAAATTGAGGATTTCAAATATGAGATAAGCCTGAAGCAGAAGTAAAGACTCATTGTATTGAACTTAAGGACTTGTTCTAAGCACACGAACAGCTCAGGCAGTGGGGGTGAGAGTGGGAAGGGGAATGAATGATACATGCCATCAATCAAAGGTTTTGTTCAAATCTAGATTTAAAATTTCCCTTTTGTTTTAAACTTAATCATAATATGAGTAGTATACTTATTTATTTTAGAGGTCAAACAGTGTTTTATAATGATGTGAAAATTCCATTTAGCATCATTTTTAAAAAACCCTTAAGGGAATAATTGTTTAAATGGTCCTTGCCATGTTATAGACCTCTGTGAGTGGGGAAGAGGGTCCCTTTGCCCTCAGCTTCTTGGCATCTTATAACCCAAACTCACTGACTCTGAGTCAGTTCTAAATCTTAGCAAGCCTGCACAGCAGGGTAGAACTGCTCCCTAGAGTTGCCAAGGCTGTAAATCTTTGCAGAAACAACCAACCTCATCTTTCCCCTGCAGGAAACTCACTGCAGCACCAGGGCTCTTGGCATCTTTATATGGCTACATTTTCTGACAAAGGATTATTTACTCATTAAGGCTGCTGCTAGATTGTGTTAGGTTGGGTTGTCTAGAGAAACAAAACAAGTGACACAAATATGTGTATGAAAAAGAACTTTATATCTAGAAATAATTTTATATCAAAGAAGTATCCCAACCTCGTTCAACTCAAGTTGATGGATCTGATGCTAACCAGAGCCCTCATCAGACTCACATTGCCAACTGCTGATGATGCAGAAATGTGAAGCTCAGGTTGGTTCTCAGTGTCAGCAGCCCACATGGGACTGCTCCTGGTAGTAGATAAAAGGGTCCCAGCAAGGATGAAGGGAGGGAGAGGAGAATTCCTAGCATCTCTCTTGAAAAAAAAAAAAAAAAACCCACACACACACCAAAGAGGCATCATCAGGTTGGGACTTGATTGGAATCCACCCCATTACTTTTACACAGGTGCAAGTTGACATAAAATCAAACTGCCACAAACACCAAGAAATGAAATTTGTGTATCCCATGCTTTGACAACATTTTTACTTGCAGGGAGAATGGAATTAATACATATTCAAATGTTTATGCTCACTAAAGATTATTTCTGAGCTTTTACTTCATCTGTAGCCCATATGGAAAAATATATAGTGGAATTTTTGAGTAAATCATGTATGTTTATGAACCATATCAAAATAGAGATCTGTTCATCTAAGTATAAATATACTAGTCAAATAGATTAAGCTGTATAGTTTTAGAAACAAAGACAAATAAATGAAGTCTGTAGTGAGATGTAGCAGTTAAGTTTTACATAGCACCTATGAGGATACTACTGTTTACTGAGGACATCAAAACTTTAAATGGAATAAGATTATCAAGGATAAGTTTAGGTATTTACACCAGTAAGGCTTGTGTTTTTCCTGGAGTAGCTCTGCTCTCTGAATGCAAATGTAGATGTTTTTATTTAAATTTAAATTCTAAAATAGGGAAAAAACAATCCTGTATATGTTCTCAAGATGCAAATCATCATTACCTATCATTTTTAAGCCTGGTTTGTGAAAGGAAGTAGTAGCACATGCTGTGGACTTGAAGTGGCATGGCAGAAATTCTCAAAGTAGGCTGTCTGTGGTCATCCTCAGTGTATTACAATGAAATTGGCAGTGAACTGGAGGGATGTGGGAAGCAGGAAGTGTTTGCTTGGAACAGCTGCTGTCAGTGCTTTGTCTGAGAATCTCTAAGGGGTCTATCAGGAAATGTACAAAACAACAGCAGTCAGTTAAAATATAAACTTTCATCATCTACTTCTTAGAGTTTGGAGCGCACATTTTCCAAGAAAAGGATCTTAAGACTCAGGTAAATGGTAAAATGGGAATCTAGGTTCACTTAAATGAATCCAACCAGAAACTATGAGGAGGATTTTTACAAAAAATACGCTTTTTCATCAATCAGGATGTTGACTTTATATGTTACTAAGGGAATGAGGACAGCAGAATGGCTTCTTGCCCGGGCATAGCAAACAGTGTCGTTCCAGGCTGCCTGCTCAAGTTGGCCAGATTGATGGTTGTGTTACTATGATCTGTTTGCATTAGTGGTAACTGATTTAAGAACAAACTATTTCAAACTCATTGCCAAACTCAGTATAGAGTTAGTTGTCTCTAGATTGTTTTGTACCATATGACATCTACTTGCTTTGGGGTCTGCCCATGTGTGGTGTAAAAAAAAGTATCTTAACTTCATTTAAGAGTGTCACTGAACTGAGTAGAAACCCCCATCTTTCTTCCATGGAGCAGCTGGTGGTTTCGAACTGCTGTTGCTGCAAATTAGAGCCCAACTCATAACCACTATGCCACCAGGGTTCTTAAGTGGGTTACTTAAATGTTCCACAAGGAAGTAGTCCTCAGCTACCTTGATCTGATATAAATCTCAAGAAAATATGTGCTGTCTTTTTCCTATTCTTTTTCCCTCCTCTGAAAACATAGCTTTTTAATGACAAAAGCTTTCTCTTTTTACATAAACATTTTTGTTGTAGATTTGTTTTTCCTATTTCTTCCCTTCACTTCCACTTGTGTAATTATCTCATATTTGCAGCTGTAAAGTGTTCACTAAATACAATAGTATTAATTTAACTGACTGAATTATTTCCAAAAATTGTGCCAGCACCTTCTCCGAGTAGCAGGAGCTCTATGAGGTGGAAAGATGTGTGTCCCTGCAGAACTGTCATCAGCAGTTGTGTGAGATGATGATGTGCACGGCAGTTTTGAGATTGCTACAGTAAATCAAAAGTTAATTTGTTGTTTGTTGGTGATTGAACATAGCCAAATCACAAAATATATACAGAAGTGCAAGTTTCAGTCCGTTGTTAGGTGCCGTGGAGTCATTTCTGACCCGTGATGACCCCATGTACAATAGTACAAAATACCGCCCTTGTGTGCCAGCCCCACAGCTTTCTTATTATGTTCGAGCCCACTGTTGCAGCCCTGTCAGTCCATCCCTTTGAGGGCCTTCTTCTTTTCGTTACCCCACAGACACGTGTTTATTGACCATCTACTATATGCCTAATGCAGGTACTGTTCAATAAACAAAACATCCTCACCCTGGTGGAGCTTACATTCCTGCTAGAGAAAATATAATAAATCAGTGAATTTTATAGTGTGTTAGGTGAAAAATGCCATGAAGAAAAGGTGGGGCAGAGATCAGCAGTACCTACAGAAGGGTGATGTGAGCACCCTTGGAGCTACGTGTTACTACAGTGATAAACTAAGAAAGCTTCTAGCAATGAGGAAGATTAGGATAGAGTCAGATTACTCACCCTTACTAGGACTAGTCTGGAATTCAGGAGCCCTGGTGATGCAGTGGTTAACCACTCCACAGCTAACCAAAACGCTAGCAATTTGAATTCATTCAGCAGCTGCGGGAAAATGACCTGGCAAACTAATTCTGTAATAATTACAGCCCCCCCCCCCAAAAGAACAACAACAACCCTATAGAGCAGTTCTACTCTGTTTTATGGGGTCACAAGTCAGAATGTACTTGTCTGCCCTGGGTTTGGTTTGGTTATGTTATAAATCGTTAACATGGATCTAAATGTTCTCAGTGTGTGTGTCTATATCTCACTCTTTACCATGAAGTGGGGTGCTCATGTTGGCAGCACATATACCAGGAAGTGAACATGTTGGTGAGAGAGCTTCATGTTTTTCTCAAAGCCCAGTATAATTGGGAAAATATTTCTCCACCCAAGATGTTTGTATCTTATGTTACAAATGGGATTTGTGGCCCCCCAAACCCAACATCTAATATTTTTTGTTGTCAGAAACAAATGTGTCACCCATATTAATATAAAATGACTAACTTTTCTCGAATAAACAAGTCTTCTCTAAAAAGAGCTTGACTAATGTATTTGCCGGCTTTCTTGTTAGTACTCCCCGTGTGTGAGTTTAGACAATTGATAGTGACGACAGAGCTGAAGACAGCACTTGTTATGTTTCCCTGGCACTTGTTTTAAACACTGATAAGGATGTTGAGTTTAGCAAATTCTTGCTCCACTAAATCTACTGGAGCATGTAATATCAAAGTTTGAGAGATACAGACTAGGGGAAAGACCTTTTCTTTTTATTTTTTTTTTAGGTTGATATTGTTTATTTTATGACCTAATCTATTATTTATTTGTTTGTTTGTTTGTTTTTAGCATTTTATTAGGGGCTCATACAACTATTATCGCAATCCATACACACATCAATTGTGTAAAGTGCATTTGTACATCATTCTCAAAACATTTTCTCTCCACTTAAACCCCCGACATTAGGTCCTCATTTTTCCCCTCCCTCATGAGCCCTTGATAGTTTATAAATTGGTATTTTGTCATATCTTGCCCTGGGGAAAGACATTTTCTAATGATTATGTTCTAACTAAAATCTTCTGTCTTGTCAGCGACCAGTTCTGCCCATTTGGAGGACCTTGCTTACCTGGATGAGCAGAGACACACACCATTAAGAACTTCTCTTCGAATGCCAAGGCAGAGTATGGGCGGTGCTCGCACACAACAGGATTTAAGAGGTTAGAATCATAGAAGGGTAAAGTGATGCCAAGTGGAAATGGACAACAGGCCACAATTTCTTTTTCCATCTTTCATACTTAGTTAAGTCTTCATTAAGAAGAAAGATGATCTATTTTATCATGCAACCAATTTATTTCTGCTGAACCTAAGAAAAGAGATAAACACAAATAAATTGCACTTATCAAATAAACTGCGTTATAATTCCCAACAGTTGGGAGCATTTCTTCCCTGAAATTCTGAAAGAAACCAAGGCCCTGGTGGTGATGGGAAAATAGCCTTAGATCCTGGTTTTCAGAAGTGATTGTAGACCAACCTCAAATGAACTTGGTGCTGATAATCATGTGCTTAGCTAGGAACGTTTTCTATTTTTGTTATTTGTTACTTTTACATAGTTGAAGTTTCAGATTGCTTTCTAGTATTGTCCTGGCAACTTCCAAACAATGAATTCTTGTTCTCTTCAGGCACTTTTTTTCTTTCGCTCTCTTTGTGGCATGTTACCTACTTCTATAACCAGAACCTCATCTTTTCAGAGATCTTTATTTTGTTTTCATCACAGTCTAGTTGAGGAGCTTGTTCTTGCAATTCTTTCAATTTGTGCATTGTGTTTGTTAAAAGTGAACCAAGCTATCTCGTATGCCCTTAATAGATAGTCTACATTTTGTTGTACCTAGTAACCCATTTTTTATTTTATCCTACAGATTCTTCTCATTTTTTTCCTATCTCTCTTCCTCCCATCTTCTCTTATGTTCTTCCTAAGGAAATATAGTGCCACATATGTAACCCCACAGGAGAAGATTCACACATGCTTACTGTCTATTCTAAACGTTACCGTGCTGAAATTTTTTCAATAATGACTAGGCAACGAGAAGCACAAAATAATTGATCGTGTTGTTGTAATAACCATACCTCCTATCAACAGCAATGGGTTGATGGCCTTCTTTGTTGTTTTAGTTCACAGCCCTTTCTGTCCTCACTGTTTCTACATACCCACACATAATGAACTTCACAAAATGTGTGGAAAAATTGAATTAAAAGATCATTTTTCTGTGAACAATTTGAAGCACCCTTGTCTGTGTATGTGTTGCCCCGTTTTATGTTTGTGGGTTTTTTTAGTTACTTAATATATGTAAATACGTATTTATAGCACAGAAAATTGAGTTATTGTCACACATTACTTTTATGCTATAGGATGATTATATTCAAAGCCTGAATAGAAAAGACCAAATAGATGATTTGTACTAAAACCAGGATACCCAACCATAATAAAGAAGACTGGACAAAACTATTGATCTATATCAGGAGTCCACAAACTACGGCTCGCGGGCCACATGCTGCCCGCCGAGGACATTTATCCGGCCCGCCAGGTGTTTTGCCCCGTTTGTTTTTTTACTTCAAAATAGATATGTGCAGTGTGCATAGGAATTTGTTCATAGTTTTTTTTTTAACTATAGTGTGGCCCTCCCACGGGTCTGAGGGACAGTGAACTGCTCCCTGTTTAAAAAGTTTGAGGACCCCTGATCTATATAGATTACATTTAAAATCTACCAAATTGTATGTTATTTGTTTAAAAAAAAAAACTTTATTGATTATGTTGCTGCTCTGCCAGCCATTGAGTCGTGGGTCTTATGCTACATGGAAAACAAAATTAATTGTCAGATTTCAGCCGTATATTTTTGAGGACCCTGCATATTGGCTCTGTTACTACCTAATGGTGTGTGTCTTCTTCAAAAATCTGAAGATTTAGAAGGGCTTCGACAAATGCATTCTGGAGAACTTATATTCATACACAGGTTTCTGCTGTATGTAGAATATAACAGAGATTTTGTTCACTGCATTGAGTAAAACAATAGGACTTCCAGGGATTTTTCCAAAACATACTTAAATCTTTAGGAAGCTCTCTGTCAGAATAATACATTCCTAAGTTATATCAATTTCATATCCCTTGGGGATAGTGTCTCAATTTATTATTACAGTTGGAATTTGTTCATTGATAAAGGCACTATGATACTGATAATATCTTACTTCATGTCTTTATTTTTGAAGCGCTTTTCTTTTATCCATATAAATAGGTCAGAACATGCCATCCAGGTGGGTACATTAATCCATAAAAGTTTATTTAACAATATTTTGACTTTATAAAATTCGCATACTTTAATTCAGAACTTTGAAACCTTGGATATAATCCTTCCCTCAGAAAATAATATTTTATCCTGATTATGGTTTATAAATGGAATCATGTGACTTAAAATACATTAATACTAGAAGAAAGCAAACTTGGAGACACTTCCTTTATCCTTCTGTGGTGCTGCTTGCCAAGCCTTTATGATTAATAATTATTATATTCAAATATATTTTTAATGTTCTGTGAATTGGGTGAAATGTTTGCACTAATAAGTCAGTGTTTCATTCAACAATGCATATACATTTTATTTCATGTCATTGATTGCAGTCCCCACAATGTAATATTACTTATCCCACTTTTTTCCTAGTTCCAGTTTCTATTCTTTCTACTTTGCTAATCCTTATGATTTTTGCCCTTGGGGAAATGCTTCCTTTTGATCTCCAATGTTTGCTTATTCTAAGATGTGCATAACTCCCGAATGTTATTGTTCCTCTAACAGGACTTCTTGTTAGATTTCCAGACCTGAGGAGGGACTATGGGCCTTTTTCTTCTACTCTATCCAAAATCATCTAATGTGGTTCCTTTCCAAGCAGCTGGTAGTGGTAGCCAGGTACCCTCTAGTTCTTCTGGTCTCAGAGCTGTGGAGACTGATCTTCCTGTGGACAATTAGTCCATTAGACTAATTGTTTCCCTGCATCTTCAATTTTTAAAATTCTTCTTTCCTCCAAACAGGGCGCTTACATGACGAGGGCAATGAATGTACAAATGTGCTTTACACAATTGATGTGTGTATGGATTGTGATGAGTCTTATGAGCCCTCAATAAAACAATTTAAAAAAACAACAACAGGGAGCTCACAAATTTTTAAGACCCCAGTGTCTACTCACCAAAATAAGATGATACAATGTTGTCTTTGTTGTGCCAGTTGACCTTGATGTCCCTTGAAACTGTGGTCCTAAGTTTTGGGCCCAGTAACTCATTATCTCATGGTGTAAAACATTATATTTTATTGGAGAAATAGATTTTCTCCCTGGCATATTTTTTTAAAACATGTCATATCATACTTTCATATTTTAATTAAAGAAACAAAAATTCCATCATATTTCAGTTTAATATCTTTTTCTTTTGGGGGTTATGATTGATGTAATATCACTTTAAAATACCCCCCCCCCCAAATAAAGTGACTATATACCATTTTTAGTATACATTTACCGAATATACTCGAGTATAAGCTGATCCAAATATCAGCTGAGGCACCTAATTTTACCACAAAAACTGCATTTAAAATGTGCTGAAAAACTCGGCTTATACATGAGTATATACAGTAAATATCTTTGTATATTAGAGAGGAAGGCTCTCAACAAGCTGGATTGGTCCGGTGGCTGCATGGACTCAAACATAAGAACATAGGAGGCTGGCACAGGACCAGACGTGTTCCGTTCTCTTGTACATAGGGCCGCTCTAAGTTGAAGCTGACTTGACAGCACCTAACAGCAACGTATTAGAGATACCTTTCTACATTTGAAGTCTTACTTCAGTCCACTCTGTGAAATAGCTTTTTGAGTCACAATTGTTATTTTATTTTATTTTTTTAATCATTTTATTAGGGGCTCATACAACTCTTATCACAATCCATACATACATCAATTGTGTAAAGCACATTTGTACATTCATTGCCCTCATCATTCTCAAAACATTTCCTCTCCACTTAAACCCCCGGCATTAGGTCCTCATTTTTCCCCTCCTTCCCCTTTCCCCCTCCCGCATGAGCCCTTGATAATTTATAAATTATTATTTTGTCATCTCTTGCCCTGTCCGACGTCTCCCTTCACCCACCTTTCTGTTGTCTGTCCCCCAGGGAGGAGGTCACATGTAGTTCCTTGTAATCGGTTCCCTGTTTCCTACCCACTCTCCCTCTACCCTCCCTGTTTCGCCACTCACACCACTGGTCCTGTAGGGATCATCTGCCCTGGATTCCCTGTATTTCCAGTTCCTATCTGTACCAGTGTACATCCTCTGGTCTAGCCAGACTTGCAAGGTAGAATTCATTTGAAATGACATGTTTTCAAGAGAGACCAGTCCCTGGAGAAGGACACCATACTTGGTCAAGTAGAGGCAGTGAAACAGAAGACCCTCCACGACGTAGATTGACACAGTGGCTGCAGCAATGAACTCAGACATAGAGCTATTCTGAGAATGGCGTGGGACCAGGCAGTGCTTCAGCTCTCAATGAGTCTGAACCAACTCAGCAGCACCTTACAACAATAGATTTTCAGACTGCCAATTAAGGATCCTTTAATCCAGTGGTTTTCAACCTTCCGAATGCTGCGACCCTTTAATACAGTTCTGCATGTGGTGGTGACCCCCCAACCATAAAATTATTTTCGTTGCTACTTCATCACTGTAATTTTGCTACTGTTATGAATCAGGCAACTCCTGTGAAACAGTCGTTCGACCCCCAGGTTGAGAAACCATGAAGGATTTAAACTATGAAGAAATATTTAAACTATGAAGGAATATTAAATTCATGAAACATTTCATATATTCTAGGACTGTACAGTTTGTTTATATAAGAAGCATTAGTTGTAAGTTGTTAGAGTACAGACAGCTCATTCAACTCTTGCCTTAATTTTCCCTGCAATTACTTGATCATACTAGTTTCATTGACTAGACGAGCAGAAACTGCTGGACTCGAGTTGGACTTTTCAAATAGGGTATTGACACTGGCATTTGCTTCTTTGCTTCATTAGTAAAAAACTTCTTGACTTTTCAAGACAGCTGTTTTAAACACCTGTTGTTCTGAAATTGATGTTTCCAGAGAACCAATCCTACAGTGGTGAAGAGGTCAGTTAAGTTCACTGTCCAGGATCCCATTAC